ACCGATGACAATGTTAATAAAGTTAAATTTAATTAATACTTTTTTTATCTAATTTCTAAATTTGAACGTAAAAATGCATTAAATTTGTGTATTTAGGAAGTGTGATTATCAAGATAAAAAATAATTAATAAATATGGGTCGACGAGGAGAATGTATGTATGTAGATGAAAACAATACAAAATTTTAGTGGCGTTTGTATAAAAACGTCACTAAAATACGAGTTTTTAGCGGCATTTACATAAAAAGGTCACTAAAGTAGAGTTTATGCTTAAAACGCCACGATATGCATAAAATTAGTGGTGTTTCTATCAAAATACCGTGAAATTTATCATTTTGTGGCGTTTGTTCTGAAAACGCCACAATAACAATAAAGTTATCAGTGTTTATTCAAAAAAACGTAGTTAAAATTGCCGCTATAAACCCATTTTGATGTAGTATATGTGCTAAATGAATACTATCATTAATTAATAATTGTCATTCCTCTTAATAGGAAAGTCCCAACCACATCACACAAACTTTTTAGGGCAAGGTGTCTTTCTTTCTTTCTTTTTTGGTTACAAGGTTTCTTTCTTTCATCAAGTTATATACTTCTAGATAACTATTTGATAAGTCGGTGATGATTTTTTTTTTTAATTTTGTAAGCGATTTTTAATCAATCAATATGTATTTTATTTATGAATTAAAATATTAATTGAAGACATGTGACAATAAATTAAAACTACTCATAAAAATTAAAAAAAATTGCACTAATACATCGAATAATAATTAGATATATGTATATAAATGGGAAAATAGATACACCCTCTCTACCCTCTTTGGAAGGTAAATTCTGATTGATTTTCCATTAAAATATGAGAACCCCCCATCTCAGAATTAATCACGTACATTTCTTCACGTACAATACTCGAAATAGAATCTCAACAATCCATCTATAACAGTGCATGTCACGTTACTTTTACTGGTGTTCAAAAGTTTGATACGAGTCAACTCCAAATATAACCATAACTCGTACGATTATCGAAAGTTAGGAATTTCAAACAAAAATAAACATTTTTCTCATTTTGATCACTGGCGTCCGAAATCAGTTGAATGGGAACTTAAGCTAAATTGCACTCCTTTAGGCCAACATTTGAGAGCCACCAGATAATGATGGAGGGTATAAATATACTAAATTTGTTGTCATCTTTCAAATGATCAACATAATTCAAATTTATTACGAATTTGGCTACAATTATACTACGGCCACAACCTTAATTACAATACTTAATTTTCGTTTTAGGCTTATAATTAGCATTCATCGATGTTGATATATAATATGCTGAGACGTCAACATTTCGGCTAATTGTAATATGAATTATGAGTGAAAGTAACAGCTTATCTAACATTAATTAACTAGGATGAGTCTAAACATGTTTCACAAGGAGGAATAGACAAAGCAGTTTCATGCACAAGTAGGGGTTGGTCCAAAAAAGGGGTGAGTCTAGGCTTATTTCGATATCATCTACTCATATTCGTTTTACAGTTCGTGCTCGATATCCATGATTGTCCCTTCTAGTAATATCGTCTCTAAGATTCGAATCCGAATTCTCTCTTCGAGAATACAAACCCTACAACTTATGTTTGCTTATGAAAGAAAGAAAGAAAAAAAAGTAAAGAAATTAAGAATATGATGCTTGTGATAGAAGAAAAAGGGGGAATGGTGAGTCTTGGCTTATATCGGTATCTCATATCCATGTCTGTTTTACTGTTTATGCTCAATGTTCGTTATTGACCCTTGTAATAATACGAATTTGAATTTTCTCTTTGAGAATACAAAATTTACCATTTGTGTTTGCTTATGAAAGAAAAAGCAAAGAAATTAAGAACGGAATAATGCTTGTGATGGAAGAAAAGGGCCAAAGGAGATTCTTGATTTAATTGTTGCATGTGCAACAGTTAATAGCCTTAGCCTCGTTTGCTTTATTTGTTGGGAAAACTTTGATTTATTTTTATTTTTATTTTCCTTTGAACTCACTGAGCCATCAAAACAAAGCACACTGGAATGACTATGTAATTCTTTGTCCTTTCTTTCATGCTTTTTGGCACGAGTCTTTCTTCATTCAATATTAAAGGATTATTACATTTTAACTTCGACCCCCTTAAAAACGGGTTTTTGGCCTTCGTATTCGAACTAAAATGGCCTACGGTGTTAACTATTTGAACTAACTAATGACATTATAAAAGTAAAGTGTTTAAATTATATCGAATTAAAAGTGTAAGGACTAAATCTCGAATTACAACATAGTTGAGGGGCCGTAGAATCATAATTTGACCTAAATAAGTTTAGAAGGTTAGGGGACTTTAGAGAGATACCAATATCCTAGTCCATACTAAAAATGCCCCAAAACCCATTAGAAAAGGAGTGTGAATCTTTAGAGTAAATTATAAACTTGTCAACTAAATTTAACTCTTCTTCTTTGTTGTATTCTATTTTTTTCCCTTTCAACATTTCTTTTTTTTTTCACTAATAAAACTAATTGTTCTTCAAATGGACTAAAATTACCCTATAAATAGATAGAAGAAGACTCTAAATTAATGAAAATAATAGGACTCTTTCCCTTAAATATGGCAAGATAAAGTGTGATCAACTTAGCTAATTTGTTCATAAATAACAACTCGACTAGTCCTACATAAAAGTTGGCGAAGATGAGAGTTTCCAAAATGTCAAAAAGATTCTTTTTTTATAACCATCGGTATCCGATCTATTGATCGATTAATCCGGATTAAGTACTGCAAAGACAAGGACAACCCTCTTAACTCAATTTGCTTCATTCGCAATCGCCAGAATTCAAACCCTTGACATTGCTTAAGGGATCTAATGTCTCATCCCATTAGACCAACTGATTGTTGGTAAAAATAAAACTCTTTTTTGCCTATTTAAAAGTTAATCTTTTTTAAAAAAAAACCTATCATCTTTAAAGTTCAAACATAATTATCGTATCCGGAAGAAACATCATTTGTCATTGCATACAACACTAGTTGAAAAATATATATTTAAAACTATTTTTTGTCCTCCAGTTTCAAGGCTTTGTCTTGATTAATCTGGACCAACTCGAGTCGCGCACCTGACTTTAGTGGGTGAGTCTCTCCGGGATTTTCTGTATACACAAAACTCAAACCTAAGACATTGTTTAAGCGATATCAAAATGTTTGCACTTAAACCAATCCCGTCGATATATTTAAAACTATTTTCACTCTTAAAAGATAACAACGAACATAATAAAAGTTTCATGTTATAACATTAATTAACATGTAATGTGGGCAATTATGCAAGAAAAATAGAAGGCTATTAAGACCCCACCAGCCCCCATAATGCCTTCCTTCTCTTCATGGCAACCCCCATGAAAGAAAGCCCACTTCTTTACTCAAATTTGAAGAAACCTAATTTCCCTTTTACCTTTTCCCTTTTGTTTTTTCCTTCTATTTTCGTATATGTAACTTGAGACGTGTTGGATCATGTGATTTAAGATTATTTTAATGTTTTTATTCAATTTTAAATATAAAGAAAATAATAATTCTTAGACAAAATTGTATGTATTCCAACTATCGCGCAAACATTTATCACTTTTATGATCTAAATTCGATCTGGTTTTTTTTTATTTTATGTATCTTTTATAATAGTATATGAAAAAAATGGGGTAAACAGGTCATATGTTTTAAGTCATAAGAGAAAGGGGAGAGATGGAGGTGATGTTTATGGTCCTATTGAAAATGAGCGTGAATAACGGACCATGGTTTTCACATGTATATTAAGCTTGCAACTTGAAAGCAAATCACTTTTATTTTCTTTCAATGATACAATTATTAAGTCTTTTAAGCTAATATTTAACAGATATTTTATCTAAATATATCATAAGGATATTTTAAGCTCTTGGGTTAGGTTCAAGCAGCTACGTCTGCAGAGTGTGTATATATTGTGATTCATGAAGTCTAATGATAAATCTATGTACGGGAATAAACGTAGAATTTTATATTAGAGGTGTGTAATTTTAAAAGATATTTATTAAAAATATCGGTGTGCGAGATGAGATCAATAACAAAAAGACATAAAGAAAACATATAAATGATATGATAATTAATTTTTTTAAAATCATTTTACCAACACTTCTCTTGGTTGATTTCTGTGTTCGTGTATAAACTATTTTGTTCTTAAAGTTGGTAGCTTTAATTTATTTTCTTTCATTAAAATAGAATAAAGTTGATAGCTTTTATTGATTGGGAATCAATTAGATTGGTTGAAAATATGTTTCAAAATCAGTGGTGACATCTTGACTGAAATATTAGAATAAAGTTGGTTGCTTTTAAGTTGTTAGCTTTTGAACATGGTCGGAACTTTCCAACCTTCGCCGGTGTCATTGGAATTTGGAGCTTATCTAAAGTGTTGCCTTTTTTGACTGAAATACTCCATCAGTACACAGTTATGATCGGATCACCAATTGAATCCATCAAATCACAAGATATTAATTCAATCTCTAAAAAGAAAAGACAATTACAATATGTACCCAAAAACAGTGCATGAGAACATGTTTCATGCTTGTGTGTTGGTGTGTGGTAATAACAACAAGAGCTGCAGTATACGTTAAGAAAAATTCTTAATCATTTTATGATGAGCGTTTGTATATTCTTATAAACGTTGTTTTTAAATTTAAAATATAAAAAAATAACAATAATTTTTGAATCATTAAGATCGTATGATTCGAGTTTGAGAAGGTGAATGTAATATATCAATGACCCTAATGGGCACTCCAATGGCATGTTGACCCTTAAAGGTCCATGGATCACACTATGCTGGACACAAATTAATAAATTCTGGTCCGATTGTGTAGCAAAATATCATGTGAACTTCTGGGTTTTTTGACCCATTAGGCCCCAGGTTCCGTGTTTCAATGGTGAAGCCCATCCTTCCACGTCATCAGCAAAATCTAACAATCAAAGACGGCGCTAGTAGATAAACATGAAAAGTTCCCGAACTCAAAACTAATTCATTTCCTGTTTTGAAACATTGTGAGATCAAATGTCCGAACCAAAACATAATCCAACAGAGACTCCCTCAGGTACTATGATCTGGTCTTAATTTCTTCTTCTCTTTGCCTGATTGTTGGACTTTGCCAAAATTATGTGAATTTATACTTATGTTCTGTAAAGATTCATCCTTTTTTAGGAAAAGATGAGTTCTTTTTCTGTTGGAAAAAATCTTAGCTTTCTGGGGTTTTTTATTGTAAATATTCAATATGTTTCTTGCATGATTAGGGTTGTTCATTCTAGCTTTGGAGCTAATCTGAACTGACAATTTGATATATATATATATTTGTTGTTAATTTTGTCATGGAAGGAAAAGGTGTTAAAGCACCTAATGTGTTTGAGAGAGCTAAGGAAGAAATTCAAGCACTAGTTCACCACGACGATGGTGAAAAGCCACACCATCACAGAGAAACGCATGGAAGGAGCGACGATATCGACGAGAACACCGCCGTCGATGAAGTTAAAGCCCCTAATGTGTTTGAAAGAGTGAAGGAAGAAGTGGAGGCCATTGTTGGAGCAATTCATCCCAAGAAGGAATCTAAGGATCATAGTCATCTTCATCGATACACGAGGTGTGTTTAGTGTTCGACTTCGAGGGTCGTATCGAATTAAGTTAGATTTATAATCTCTGTATGATGTTCCATTGCCTTTAATTTACTCGTTCGAATGAGATGATATGAGATATTCCTTTGTTTGCATTGCGGAATCTGATTGTTGTGCTTGACAATCACTCGATTGTGTCCCCTTGGAAATGCTTTATCTTGGTGTTGCTTGATTGTTCTTTGACAGTGCCCATTTGGTTCAATTATATGTACCAATTAACTTATTGTCTGAGTAAAAAAATTGCATATGTAGTTGAAACCTTAGTAGATTTCTCGACCCCTGATCTCATGAGACCTTCGTTACGGTCTCGCATTCATGGTTGTTCCACTCTACCTACCTACCCCACCCATTAAACTGGTTAGGGTGCGTAAAACAGGACAGACAGTCGAAGAATCGCTTCTATACCACATGACAGTCGTTACCTTCTCTTAAAAGACATGTCGGAGTGTCTTATGAAATAGTTGCTTATTGTCTTGTTGGGTGGGATGTTACAAGTTGTCTTCGTCTTGATTGTATCATATTTATGTTGTATTTATAATCGTGTTATCTATTCACCTTATAATTGTATTTAAAAGGTTTATATTTTCTAAATTTTTCATATGTTGTTAACGAGTGTGGCACAAGTGATTCGGATTTAGGAATTTAAGTTTGTAAGATTAAATTCGAATCTTACCACTATTACTCTTAGTGAAAAATCTGTAAATTCCTATGTAAATTCCAATTGGGTTTTAGATATACTCTTGCCCTTGACTTGGGAGCCACCCTTACCTAAATTTTTTGTAAAAAAAAATTCCATAGGTTTAAAATTAATTTTATGTAGATTAAAGCCGAGCATACTTACAATTTTCTCTTGAAAGAGTAATTTTTTTATAAAAAAAAATCTATATTTACTTAAAATATAATATCAAATTTGTCCCTTTAACGGTTTATTGATTTTTTAATTTATCCATGAAAAAATTAAACGAAATTTCTTAGTAATTTTTTTTTATTTCAATGGTTTTTTTATTTGGTTTAAAGTAGTTTGAAGATTTGTTTCTATCAATCGGTCGACCTAATTGCTGTTTATTTAGATTTCTAAAAATTTATATTTGATTACGTAAATTGAATTTGAAATTTTGTAAAAAAATAAATTGATATTGAATATCTTGTTATCTTAACTAGAAGATAATCATGTTTTACGTGTAGCTAATTTTCTGGTACCCAAATTTTATAAGATGGAATACGAGTTAATTGTTTTGGTACTTGAAAAATCAGTAAAGGATAATGAGAATCGAGGGTGGCATGTGCTACTTAACAGAGAAATAGATAAATTATTTCTATATTACATCATTGCAGCTGTGAAAAGTAACGTCTGTATCATCGTGTCGATTTTGAGTGAATGGTATAATATTATAATTGGCTTTAAACCGAAAATTAGTGTTAAAAATGAATTGATTTAAAATTTAGTGATAACATTGATATTAAATCTAAAATTTAGGAATATCTGGAATAGTTTACCCAGTAAAGAAACCTTAAAATTTTCAACTAGAATAGAACACTTGAACAGAAATATAAATAAAAAGCAGTGCCGGTGAGTAAATTAAAGAAAGGCTTAATATCAAAATAAGTGGCCAAATTATACCACCTTTCCCAAATAGGTGCATAAACTAATTTTCGTCTCATCCAGGTGCCTAACGTTACAAACGTTACCCATTTAGGTGTCCGGACCGTCAACGGCGTTAATTTCTTGCATTAAGTGACATGTGTCACAATCTGATAAATTTGAACTTTATTTTTAAAAAAATATTATGATATTTATAAAAAACTAATTTTCCTTATATTATAAAATAGACCAAAAATTACAATTTCAAGCCTTAATCAGCCGTCGCCGCCTTCTTTTCAGCCACGACCACCGCCACCGACATAGTCCCTACCATCATCATACTCATGTAATGTTGTATTTTCCTTCGATTAGCCGTCGAAATCGCATGGGATTGCGATTTTAATCCTAGGGTTTGAGCGGTTTAAAATGTTGATTCGTCGTCGATTGGTCACAATTTCATGGGGCTTTTGGTTTGCGGGGGAGCGGAGGTCAGGGGTAAGAATCGTCGACACCAAAAGGCGGCAGCCGACATATGTTTAGGGGTTGAAATGAAGGTTTTCAAAGTATTGAGTTTATTTCAAATTTTGTGTTTTCTATTTTTTAAAAAATATATAATTTTACATTTTTAATTTTAAATAAAATTTTTAAAATTATCAGGTTGTGACATGTGTCATTTAAGGGAAAATTAACACCGTTGTCGGCCCAAACACCTAATGAGTAACGTTTGTAACGTTAGGTACCTAGATGAGATGAAAATTAATTTAGGCACCTATTTGAAAAAATAAACATAGTTGGACACTTATTTTGATATTAATCCTTAAAGAAAACCAAAACTTATTTATAGAAGTCAGCAATGGCATGAGACATAGAAATGATCACATGATGCAGTCTTAATATACAAATAAAAAAAAGGTGTTACCGGTTTTGTTAATATTTAAATAATAAAATTGATAAAAAATTATCGGAAACATTATTATTTCTATCAGTTTTGTTATTATTGGACGCTTTACCGGATTTGGTAAAGCTTTACCGGATTTGGTAAAGCGCTACCGGTTTTGTTATTTTTTCTACCGATTTTGTTATTATTGGGTACATTTATCGAAACGTTAAAAAATTAATGTTTTAGATAAAAATAATAATGATATAGGTAATTTTTTTTACCGTAGAACTTTCTTATGAGACACGAGATTGACGTGATTGCTTCAAAGATAGAAACTTTTCTCTCTTTGACGTCTAAAATTCTGTCCACTATCGAGATTTACTCCATTAATTATAGGGTAAGTTACGCATCTAACATCTAAAGTATTAATTTTGATTTGTTTTAAAATTTTTACTTTTTTAAAATTATATTTAAAATTTAATTTAATTTAATTTTTATTTTAATATTTATGTTTAAAATCTAATGTTGATTTTTAATTTTTTTTGAAAATTTAGATATTAAAATAATCAGTTTTAGTATTAAACATGTTAAGTTTTTAACAATAAGGTATCAAAATAAAATAAAAACTAAGGGTGTGTTTGGTTCTGGGTATGTGAGATTACCAGGGGAATGAAATCCTCATTCCCCGTTTGTTGACCAGTAATCCTATTCCCGATAATCTTTTATTCTCAACAATGGATTTTTTGATTATATTACCGGAAATGTGATTACTCATTCTTTTAGGCATTGTTGGATTACCGATGTTTTTGACTAAAATGCCCTTAAATTTTTTTCTTCAAAAATATCATTCTTCTATCGTTGAAAAATAAAAATTCTACGAAGGTTAAATTACAAATTTATCCTTAAACTATTTTAGTTTACAAAAAAATCTATAATTAAAATTTTATATGAAATTCAGGGGTTAAAATAAAAATTTACCCTTTCATGAAACCTATTTATCTTTTCAATTTTGTAAAACAATTATATAAATTTTATGAATTTAAAAATTTTAAAGAAAATTTATAAATTAATTATAGTAATATTATAGTAGAATTCAACTTGTTAAAAAATAAATATATAATAAAGACAATTTGATAAAATATACATTCTAATAATTTTTTATTTCTTTAACAAAACAATGTAATCTTACCTCCCTACTAAACCAACCAAACACAAAATACAATATTTTTAGTAATTATATTCCCCGATAATCTTTTGTTACTATTGGTAATCTTACATTCTGTGAAATAAACGCACCCTAAAAGTTAAGTGTACTTTTGGAAAAAAAAATTAAAAATTTAGTTATTAAAATTGATAATATTAAATATTAATAATTTATACTTAATTATAATTAACAAAAATGTAAATTAAGTAAACGAAATCTTCCCCTTCCTTATGTGATCAGCAAAAATATTTGGCTACTCCTTTTGGAACGGCTCTATTACAAATGGAGTTGCTTGTTCCTTTTCCCGTATTGAAGATGAACTTGCTTCCAGATTCAAGGTACCTCTTTTTTCATTTCCTTTTTCTTTATTTTTTTCCCCTTTTAGAATTGTTGCTTCGGGGTTAAGTTTTTAAAGGTTTCCTTTTATTATGGGTTAAATATCAATGAATTTCAAAGCTTTAGCAGCGCCATTGTCTCCTTTGTTCTTTCATTTCTGTTTTCATGAGCTATTTGTTTGAATATTTGAGGTGAAAAGTGAAACTGGGTATGTGATTTTCCCCCCAACGATATAAATTTGATATTTTTACGTAGGGAATGGCCGTATTGTTCGTGTGCGCGTGTGCGTGTGTGTGTATTTCTGTTAACAGTTTCTTAGGATCTGTTTTTTGAAAGGTCAAATTTGTAAGCTTTCGTCAATGTGTTTTTGTTCTCACTGTTGTCTTAAGTAAATATATTTTCTTAGAAAATATCATATGTACTTTAAATATAACATTTTTTCCTGAATGTTTGTGCTTTTAGAAGTTTGTTTTATTTTCAATTTGTTAATGTTAGTCCTGTACTGATGTTTGATTTGCATTTGTGTTTGTGAATTCAGGATTTAAAGCTTGGAACCAGTGAATACTAGATTTGGGGACCCTTTGTTTGGCACTTGTCTACTGTTTTTTTCTTGAAAGGTTGATTCTCAGAGATGACACGGGTTGGGATTCGAGCAAAGCTCAGGCTGAGTAATCTATATACATTCACATGTCTTAGGCCTAGAGCTACTGAAGAAGGGGCACATTCTTTTGACGGACCTGGATACTCCAGAATTGTGCTTTGCAACCAACCTCTTATGCACAATAAAAAACCTTTTAAGTATCGATCAAATCATGTATCCACGACCAAGTACAATGTTTTCACTTTCTTACCAAAGGCTTTGTATGAACAATTCCACCGAGTTGCCAATTTGTATTTCCTTGGAGCTGCAATTGTTTCTTTTTCACCACTCTCGCCATTTACTGCTGAGAGCATGGTTGCTCCCTTGGTCTTTGTTGTAGGGCTTAGCATGGCAAAGGAAGCTTTAGAGGATTGGCAAAGGTTTATGCAAGATATAAAGGTTAATAATCGGAAGGTAAAATTTCATAAGGGGGAAGGTGTTTTTGGTAATAGGTCATGGAAGAAGCTTCGGGTTGGAGATGTGGTGAAAGTGGAGAAAGATCAGTTTTTTCCGGCAGATTTGCTACTTCTGTCATCAAGTTATGAGGATGGAATTTGCTACGTTGAGACTATGAATTTAGATGGTGAGACAAACTTGAAGGTGAAGAGAGCTTTGGAGGTTACATTACCTTTGAATGAGGATGAGGCTTTCAAGAACTTCACAGGAACAATTAAATGTGAAGATCCCAACCCTAGCCTTTACACCTTCATTGGTAATTTTGAATACAGTGATGAGGTTTATGCCCTTGACCCTAGCCAAATTCTTCTTAGAGATTCAAAGCTGCGTAATACAGCTTTTGTCTATGGAATTGTGATTTTCACCGGTCATGATAGCAAAGTCATGAAGAATGCTACAAAGACCCCTTCAAAAAGGAGCAAAATAGAAAGGAAAATGGATTATATAATATATGTTCTTTTCAGCATCCTCCTGATGATCTCATTTATCAGCTCTATTGGTTTTGCAGTGAAAACAAAGTTTGAGATGCCACACTGGTGGTATCTGCAGCCTAAGAATACGGATGATTATTATAATCCTAAAAGGCCAGTATTATCAGGGATTGGCCATCTTATAACTGCTCTCATACTTTATGGGTATTTAATACCTATATCGCTTTATGTTTCAATTGAGGTGGTGAAGGTTTTGCAAGCAACTTTTATTAATAAGGACATACACATGTATGATGAAGAAACTGGGAATCCTGCTCAAGCACGGACATCAAATTTAAATGAGGAGTTGGGCCAGGTAGATACAATCCTTTCAGATAAAACGGGCACTTTGACCTGCAATCAAATGGATTTTCTCAAATGTTCCATTGCCGGTACTGCATACGGTGTGCGCTCTAGTGAAGTTGAAATTGCTGCAGCACAGCAGATGGCTACTGACCTTGAGGATCAAGATGTAGAAAGATCCACTGATTTCAGGCAGAAGGGAAAGCAACTAGAAATTGAACTCGAAAGTGTTATTTCAAAGGATGAAATGGTTCTTAAACCTCCCATAAAAGGGTTTAGCTTTCAGGACAGCTGCCTAATGGAAGGGAACTGGTTGAACGAGCCTAATGCAGATGCCATCATGTTATTTTTTCGAATATTAGCAATTTGTCACACTGCTGTACCTGAGCTGAATGAAGAAACCGGCAGTTATACGTATGAATCAGAGTCACCTGATGAAGGAGCCTTTCTTGTTGCAGCCAGAGAATTTGGTTTTGAGTTTTTTAAAAGAACTCAATCAAGTGTGTTTGTCCATGAAAGATATTCAGCTTCAGGGCAAGCAACTGACAGGTGGGTAAACCAATTCACAATATTTGTGCTCTTTGCTAATCTCTCCTGAATTCCTATGTTTTAGCGTCTTAATGGTCCTCTGGGGCATCTTGTAGGGAGTTCAAAATTCTAAATATGTTGGAATTTACTAGCAAAAGAAAGCGAATGACAGTAATTGTAAGGAATGAAGAGGGGCAGATTCTTCTTCTGTGTAAAGGTGCTGACAGGTTAGTCTCTCTGTAGCCCCGATGACTTGTTCAAGGTAGTAATAGATGCACAAGGTACCCTACACCAGTTTGTATCTTTAATGGGGTGATGATTTGTGTTTGGCTGATTTATCATTACTCTGTTTGGTGCAGTGTTATTTTTGACAGACTATCAAAGAATGGAAGATTGTATGAGGAAGATACCACTAGGCATTTGAATGAGTATGCAGAAGCTGGATTGCGAACATTGGCACTGGCCTATAAAAAGCTTGGGGAGTCTGAGTACTCTGCTTGGAACGATGACTTTCAGAAAGCAAAAACTTCAGTTGGGGCAGATAGAGAGAGAATGCTTGAAAATGTTGCAGAGATGATGGAGAGGGATTTGATTCTTATTGGTGCTACTGCTGTGGAAGACAAATTGCAAAAGGGAGTACGTGTTATTCCTGCTTGCTTTCTCTAAGAAACTTATTTTTTTGGTTTACATCAACCAGATTCATCTTCTCTTTGTTTCAGGTACCCCAATGTATAGATAAACTTGCTCAGGCTGGTCTGAAGATCTGGGTTTTGACAGGGGACAAGACGGAAACTGCTGTAAATATTGGGTCCGTCTCTTTCCATTCAATATTGAACTTTCTTTTAACTCTTCTAATCAGAACCTGAAATTGTATTTTTCAGTTGATAGATGCAGTATGAAAGCAATTTAGAAAAGTTTCTTTTTGTGATGCAGATATGCTTGCAGTCTTCTTAGGCAAGGCATGAAGCAGGTCTGTATTACAGCCATTAATTCAGATGCTAGAGAGGTATGTAATATGTATTTCTTTCTCTTGAAAGACAAAAAATTTTCTTCAGGAAATTGTTTTTATCAATGTCAGACTTCCACTTTTCGTTATTGTTTAGGTAGTTAAGGAGGACATACTGTCGCAAATAACCAAAGCTTCGCAAATGATCAAACTCGAAAAAGATTCACATGCTGCATTTGCGTTGATCGTTGATGGAAAGACTCTTGCATTTGCCTTGGACGATGATATGAAAAGGCACTTCTTATTCTTAGCTGTTCAGTGTGCGTCTGTCATATGCTGTCGTGTGTCTCCTAAGCAGAAGGCACTAGTAAGATATCTTTTTCCTTCCCTCCCAGTCTGTTTCTAATCTTTTACAGAATCAAATCAGATTATATGCTTGATGGTAGAGATCTTATCATATCTTATCTTTATTTAGTAAATTTATTTGGTACCAGGTAACAAGATTAGTAAAAGAAGGAACTGGGAAAACCACCTTAGCTATTGGTGATGGCGCAAATGATGTCGGAATGATTAAAGAAGCTGACATTGGAGTTGGCATCAGTGGCGTGGAAGGTATGCAGGTTGGTAACATATCTCACTCTTCTTACAGTTGCAAAACATTCGTGTAACGCTAGTAGCAAATGAATCTTTTACGTAGTATCATATTAAGGATATTTATATTTGTGAATTCGAAGTAGTCAAAATTTTGAGCTTCATCATTCTCGTCAGTTGCACTTCTGTTCAGTTAGTAATAGATGTGAACCATAGCTGTTTATTTGCTTCCATCCGTATTGGGAGATAAAGTTATTGTTAGAGTTCTTTGGACTGTTCTTATATATGTTTAGCAGCAATGACTTGCTAAAATGTTCGGCATTTGGATGTCAACTGCTGATAAATGTTTTCTTCCCTATCTTGTTAGATATATTTAATGATTTTTATTTAAGTATTATACTTAGGTTTTAGCTGTTTTTCTCTATTACATGATGCTTTTTAAGACGATTTATTTTTGCATGTTAGTGAATTACCTAAATCGTCCCATTTTTGCAGGCTGTAATGGCCAGCGACTTCTCCATTGCCCAATTCCGTTTCTTGGAAAGACTTCTTGTTGTCCATGGACACTGGTGTTATAAGAGGATCGCGCAGATGGTAATCATGAGGGATTACCTGCATTTTTCATTTTATTGCACTCTTTATGCTTGGTCGACCTCTAATTCCGTACCATTTTGACCTTCAGGTTTGCTATTTCTTCTACAAGAACATAGCATTCGGCCTCACTCTCTTCTACTTTGAGGCATTTGCAGGATTTTCTGGACAATCAGTTTACGTTGATTGGTACATGTTATTATTCAATGTTGTTCTTACATCATTGCCCGTAATCTCACTAGGAGCTTTTGAGCAAGATGTCTCCTCTGAGATCTGCTTACAGGTAAGTCTGTAAAACAATTTTCTTATTAACAAAATTTATCCAAGCTACGAGGGACTTTATTATAAGACATTTTGTATGCCTATCTGTGTTGCAGTTTCCTGCATTATATAAGCAAGGACCTAAAAATTTGTTTTTCGACTGGTATAAGATACTCGGGTGGATTGGGAATGGTCTTTATTCCTCTCTCATTGTTTTCTTCCTCAATATTTTCATCTTCTACGATCAAGCTTTCTGTGCTGGAGGTCAGACTGCCGATATGGATGCCTTGGGGACAACAATGTTCACTTGCATCATTTGGGCGCTCAATTGCCAGATTGCGTTTACGATGAGCCACTTCACATGGATCCAATACCTATTCATATGGGGCAGCATCATCATGTGGTATTTGTTTCTCTTTGTTTATGGCATGCTATCACCGACTACATCTGGTAACGTCTACCAACTTCTAGTGGAAGTTCTCGCTCCTGCACCCAGCTATTGGATGGCCACCCTCTTAGTAACCATCACTTGTAACCTCCCGTACTTGGCCCATATATCTTACCAAAGATGTTTCCACCCATTGGATCATCATATCATCCAAGAGATCAAGTATTACAAGAAAGACGTCGAGGATCAACGCATGTGGAGTAGGGAGCGATCAAAGGCAAGAGAAAAGACCATGATCGGGTTCACAGCAAGGGTAGATGCAAAGATCAGGCAGTTAAAAGTGAAGTTGCAAAGAAAGCATCTGTCTTCTGAAATTCATGGTCCGGCCCCTTCATCATAACAACACACATTCAGTCTAGTTTTCATTTTGAAGTATGTTTATGGTTTTTTCTTTTCTGGCCATTCGCATCATCACTTTTCTTGCCTCCTTTATATTATCGGTTAATTATTTATTAGTTATTTACACAAATGTAGCAGCTGTGACCTGTGGAAGTAGTCGGAAGAAACGTCCGATCATTGTTTAAGACTTGCATTTTCTTGGCTTGTTGATGCAACTCTTGTACAATGTAGAATGTTGAAACTTTGTACATGTATAGGAAAAAAACTAGGATTTGAAGCAACTCCAATCTTTTCCGTTTTCCAAGCGTCATGATCCGAATGAGTGTTAGATGTGAGTACGTGTCTAAAAGACAAACGGTAATGCCAGTTCGACCTCCGGTTCATTAGGGAGTGGCAATTTGGAAGCGTTGAATCAGCATTTGATATTCTAGTAACAGTATGGTTTCCATCAATAATATGTTGGACTATGAATCAGTAACTTCTGTGGTGAGCTCAAAGGAGATCTCCACATGACTCTGTTGCAATTGAACTCAGCACTGCAGCAGTTGATGGTGATCCAATTTACTGCCTTAGTTGATGGCAGGAGTATTATGAAATGAATCCGACGTTTAATCTAGTGTATAATTATGTTTAAAATATGATAGTATTAATGTAATTTTTACTGTATCAGTAACAATCTAAGAAATCAATAACATGTTCATTCAATTCCAGAAAATTCACAATGTGCATGAATTTTGCAGAAGACCTTATTGTACCAAGAAACACCATTGTCCAAATTCCATAGTTGATGAGAATATCAGATTCAAGAGAAAACTTACCCCTAAATCTTACTTCTCCATCATTCACCAATACAGTAAAGCACAAACCTCAAACAAAACAAAAAGAGAAAAGAGAGAGAAAACAAGAGATTGTCCATGGCCATGGATCACTGAGAACCGTAGACAACTTGGGTGTAGGTGTCCTTGATCCACCTGAAGCTCTTCCTCAAAGACCCTTTCGTCTTGCCTTCGACTGCATAAGCCTTGTAGCTAACAACCCTCTTCTTCCTCTGCAGCTCAGGATCAGTAAAACTCCAGCTTTTTGAAGAAGACCCAATTGAGCTTTTGCTTTTCTTCACCTTAATCTCCTTCCCAAGCTGGTTTTGTTGAGCAGAACTTGCACTGTAAGATCTCAGGTCTTGCATGTTCCTTGTGCCTCCTCCACTGTAACTTTCCATCTGCATTTCTCCACCATCCTTGTATGATTTGGATCTGAACTGCTCCATCAAAGTAAATAAAAGAAAATTTGCATGAAAATTGAAGAAAAGGATTGTTCAAGGATGAAGGGTTTAGCTGTGGGGGAGGAGAAATAAATTTGTGTAGTTGTTGATTATTGTGAAGAAATGAATGAGTGACATGTGACAGTTTCTACTTAAAGAATCACACCACAAGACAGTTGAGGCCGCAAACTGGGGCAGTTAAAGGCTAACTTTGAACCTTCATTGCTGGGTATTTGCCGCGTGGAATGGCTTATGTTTGACCAAGTGAATGAATAATTGGAAGATTTAATCTAAAGAAAATAATTAAAATAAAATCAAAGATCACAAATTTCAAATCAATGGAGATTAATAGGATTTTAATTTGACTATGGTAGTTTAATAGGCATTAGAGAATTTATCTCATGATCAATCTTCAAATCTCGAAATTAAGGGAGGATATTTAAATAAAGATACTATGATATTATATTTTGGAGTTTAATTTTCGAGAACAAACATGATTACATTAGTGAAAATCTCATCATTATAGAATTTTGCTGAGATTTGCAGAGAAAATTTCATAGTTTTTATATAAGCTAGAAGAAAGACAATCTAAGAAACCCCCAACTGCTGCATAAAAGCTTGAAATAACACATTAAACCCACCACAAAGGAGTGGGTAAAAACTGGACAATCATTATGGAGCAATTGTGTAGGACCCATACCATTAAATGGTCAGATATGTTTAAGAACAACGTTAAGGCACTAGATAAGCAAAAAAGAACATGCGAAAGGGCAAGTTAAATAAGACTTGCCGAAACAACAAAACCACCTTGCCGAAACAATCATCAAAAAGGGTACTCTCTCTTCACAGGAGATCAGCAACATTTGATGGAAGCTCCTCGACGATCACATTGTAGAATTTCTGGATGTCAAACAGCATTCTCTCATCATCTGTGGTCACAAAGTTGATGGCCACACCTTTTCTTCCAAACCTTCCACTTCGTCCAATACGGTGGAGGTAGTTTTCTGGTTGAGTTGGCAGATCATAGTTTATGACTAGAGAGACTTGCTGCACATCAATACCACGAGCCAGGAGGTCGGTGGTTATGAGAACACGAGAAGAACCAGAGCGGAATTCACGCATGATGATGTCACGAGTATTCTGGTCCATGTCTCCATGGGTGGCAGAAACTGTGTGGTCACGACTTCGCATCTTGTCAGTTAACCAGTCGACCTTACGCCTTGTATTGACGAAAATGACACTCTGGGTAATGGCCAGGGTCTCATACAGATCACAGAGTGTTTCAAGCTTCCATTCTTCCTTTTCAACATTCACATAGAATTGCTTGATACCCTCAAGGGTTAACTCATCACGCTTAACCAAAATTCTCACAGGTTTATTCATGAATTTCCTAGTAATCTCGAGGGCTTCAGGTGGCATTGTGGCAGAAAACACTCCAACCTGAATCTTGGATGGAAGCAACTGGAAGATATCATAGATCTGAAAGACATAACAAACATTATTAGAGCAACAAATGAATCAAAACCTAACCTCTTAAAACTTGAAATCATTCAAAAGGGAAATTAACATGATGAAATCAATAACCTGGTCCTTAAAACCACGGGAGAGCATCTCATCAGCCTCATCCAAGACGAACATCTTAATGTAATCAGGACGAAGTGACTGCCTTCTCAACATGTCAAAGACACGACCGGGAGTACCAACAACAACATGAACACCACTTTGAAGTATGCGCTGATCCTCACGAACACTTGTCCCCCCAACACAAGCATGGACCTTAACACCTAGGTAATCACCAAGTGCTCGCATCACTTTCTCAATCTGTTGTGCCAGCTCCCTAGTGGGTGCCAAAACCAGAGCCTGGCATTGGACTACAGCATAGTCAAGTTGCTGGAGAATTCCAGAGCAGAAAGTCGCTGTCTTCCCCGTTCCAGATTGTGCCTGCTGAATCACATCAAGACCTTTGCAGAATGGAACAATTCCTCTCTGCTGGATAGCAGAAGGCTTCTCAAAACCTAGGTAATTTATTTTGGACAAGGGAACAGGGTTTTTCAGCATAAATTAGCCACAATAAAACATAAAAAATTCTACAATTATGAAAATATAGTACATTACTTTTTATTCGATGTACCACATACCATATGCATAGATACCCCTCAGAAGGTTCTCTTGAAGTCCCATTGCATCAAAACTGTCAGAAACTTCATCATAACTTGTGAAAAAATCATCTCCATCAGTCTGGAGCCTGTAAGTTCCAACCACATAAGCATCAGCAAATGGTAAAGCAAATAGCATTATGCTTATGTGTGCATAAAGTATAATAGAAAAGCATTGGCAAAGAGAAACATGTGTGATCTACAAACAAGAAAATTTACAAGTCACTCATTTTCTGGTCATATTGACGAGCATCAAATTGGGATCCTTCTGGTGTCAAACCTGCCATGACTGCAGAGACAAGAAAAAATCAGCAATTAAACATAGTACAACTCACAAATTAAAGCTTTAAGTCTAAGAATATAATAGATACCGATAAATAGAACAATTTGTTGCCTATTATACAAGCACCAAAAGATTTAATATTAACAATGAATATGTTTTGCAATTAAGGTTTATGCCTTTCCATGTTAACAAGGATGTAAAAGAAGAGACAAACTTGCACTCTATGAGAAGCACAGCACAAGCATTAATTTCTGCTTTAATATCAGGAGAAGATGCAAAGAGGCAATGGCTATCTAATATTTTGATCAGAATCAAGTATAGATAGCATATTGCCCACCTCTGCAATATTCCAACCACAGCCAACCACCTAAAAAGTGAACTCTTAACACATTATTACCTCCACAAAGACATCACCACACATGAAATATACTGAAGAAAATTTGTAGGGACACGTGATCATCACTCTTCGGTTAATTACACATCCATTCTGATCATAATACAGGTTTACGTTAATTACACAAATGTTAACTTCGACTTTATGGAAAAGGTGACGATCTTCCCATTTTGAGAAAGATGTAAAAGAATAGCCAAACTTGCACTCCATGAAAAGCAAAGCACAAGCAATAAATTCTGATTTAATATCTGGAGAAGATACGAAGAAGCAGATGGCTATCTGATATTTTGATCAGAATCCTCTACCAGACACCACATTGCCCACTTCTCCAACATTCTACCCAGGGCCAGGCACTAAAAAGGAAAACCGTTTAACACACTCTTATCACTAATATACTGAAGACACTTCTAGGGAACACATAATCATCACTCCTCAATTAATCATACATCCATTCTAATGTTAATACATGTTTATGTTATTTACACAATTAGCCTGCCTGAAGATTATGTACAAAAAAAACTGTGTTAGATAATCCTAATAGCAGGCAACATACTCTAATCAATTCAAACAGTGACAATAGATACAGATTTCAACTCAAACCAGGAATAGCATACTTGTTATATAACGGCCTTAAACTAATTGTCAGATTTCAATCCAAGAGCTGGAAATTTCAATACTAAAACTTAAGATCCTTTTGCAACCAAAAAAGAACAGGTTACCTGGAAATGTCAATTCTATAACTGTTATTTAAAGAACAGAAGCTTTGGTTACTATAAACTTTCTAAAATCCTTCGTTTCCTATTCAATTTTTTTGTTTGCTTTTGATAAACAAAGATAGAAAAGCTAGTCTAGCTGAGACTCAAGACGGCTAATCTATCAAATCTCAAACTACAAAGGAAAAAAGAAAAGAAACCCCACAAGTCATAGACATAAACCGATAAATCTGAAAACCAAACCCCAAAAAAAATAAACAGAGAGCAGATCAAAGTCAGATCCCAGACAGTATAAAAAATCCAATAAACAACAAATCAAAACAAAAAAAAAAGATTCAACAGGAATCCAATAAAACACAAATACCCAAACCAAAAAGGAATAAAGATGAGAAAAGGTTAAAGGAAAAGGAGCAACCTGAAAGCAGATGAAGTGAGTAAGAAGAGCAAAGGGTAAATTTTTTATCGCGAATCAGATACTTCTCGGATCTGCGCCGTGGAGTTTAAGAACAAAGAGAGAGAGAGAGAGAGCCAAGGCAAAAACACAACGACAGGAAGAACAAATCTAAAGTGCTGGGAATCGGCTTCTCTTTTAGGTTTTTATAGTATGGGTTTTCAGCTCTTTCGACTAACCCTTGCTTGGCCTACAACTCTTACATCCCATCAAAAACACTTTCTTTGCTTCTCGTTCTTTTACTTATTTGCCCTTCCTTTTTTACAATAATTCCTTATAGTTGAGTTGGATTGGCCCTACTTTCTTAAAAATGTTATATTAAAAATGCTTTTTTAACTTAACAAGACTTTTTAAAATTAACTGAGATCGTTTTTGCTTGTAGAAATTATTTTCTCTGCACTTAAAGAAAGAAAAAAAATCGATTGATTCTAAGGAAGATTGATCATACAATTCTAAAATAGTCAATTCACCAGTCTCTTAACATTATTTAATTGATCGGCTAACAAAAACGTTATTTTTATCATGTATTTTTCATTATTAATAATTATATAATTATTATTATTATTATTATTTGTTGTCCTCCCGTTCTAATTCTTCACGTAGACTATTATTTTATCTTCAAGTAAAAGTCACTGCTTAAATAATCAAATAAGAGATTAATAAATCTATATAAATTATTTACGACAAATGAATGACTTTTAAATTGTGATCTATACACATCTAAATACGAAATTCTTTTAATTGTCTAATATTAATGGATCGAGTTTTGTAAAGTTAGGATTTCACAAGAAAGGAGAATTCTTGTAAACGAAGAAAGCATGCATATCCATTATTTATAAATATGGCATTTGACTTCTGCTCTTACCTCACCCACCTTCATAGCAGGGGTGTAAACTATTCGAATTGAGTTCGAGTATTATTGAACTCGATTCGACTCGAAATCATGAACTAAAGTTCGAAAAAGCTTAAAGTGAAAAAAAAAATCCTTAAACTTAATTTGATTGAAGCCTCAAACTCAACCTCGAACATGAACATGAACCTTAGATACATTAAGATCTTTTATTTCATTTTTTTTTAAGATGAACACATAAATGCTAATATTATTAATAATTTATTTTTAAAAAAAATAAAATCTTATTATATTATATTTTTTAACTATTCATGAGCATTTCGAGTGGAGTATCACAGCTCGTTTCAACTCGTTAAGACCTCGAATCGGGCTCGAGTCTATTCGAATCGAGTATTTATCAAGCTTTGACTGAATCAATCTCGAGTAACTTGCGATTTGTCTCGTCTCATTTACGGTCCTACTTCATAGTATCATTTATGATTTTGCTTCTTTTCTTTTATTTATTTCTTGGTGAGGATTTTTTTTTTCATTTCACCCTTTCTGTTTCCATTAAAACACACACTTGATCCAAAACTCCATTTGGCATATCGGGCATTCTTCTACTTTGATCCACATTAGGCATAATAGCGATAAGTAACATTCTGTCCCTAACTTGGCCAATTTTTTCCAACTTAATCCCACAACATTTTCTTTTCCTCATACTACTTCTTAAACTTTGAAACTTTCCCATGTTATTATTGATCTCCTGATATAACACAATGATTTGTGAGTTTAAATGGCAACATAAGGTCTATAACACTAACCAAGGCTTGCCATCAAGTAATCGACAGCATACTTTTCCATCAAGTTGCAGTGGGAAAAAATATATTCGTATCCGACATTCATCACGAGTTCATGTATCAAAACTTATGTCAACTCTAGTCCAAAGACAAAAAATATACTCATATCGGACACTCACCACAAGACCAGATACCAAAACTAATATCACAGAGGTTGGTTACGTTGCTGCAAATAATCAAACAGCTATGGAAAATGTATAATAAATGCATAAACAAACATAACTACTAAATTAACTTGAAAGGAATTTCACTCCTACATATTTGTTTTAATTACTAGACTTTAAACACTAAAACAAACCAAAGCTTATGCAGTTCCTGGGTTATTTAAACATAGTACCACAAACTTTGACATGCACAACCAACCTTGAGCACCTGACCCTAGAAGTAGGAAAAGCAGAAGGACACAATCAGGGCACAGCCACTAAAATCTTTGTATGAACTTAAGATACAGGGCGTGCAATATATACACGTACATTTTGCATGTGTCCATGTGTGTGTATAGTCGCTGTATGTTGTCAAACGATCAAATATTGAATTAATGTGTGTTGTCGAATACTCAAATATTGAGAAGTAGAGAGTTTGATATTATCCCTTTTCTCACTAGTAAAAAGTACAAATAATGAAGAAAGATCAACTAAAATAAATTAAAAAGAACTTCAACCAGGCCATGTTTGTTTATGAATTGTGCCTAGGTGCACAAAGTGTATGCCTGATCAAATGCATATTGCCTGAGGAGGTTTGAGACACTTCTGTTATCAGAAGCTAAGTTGCAATGCCTGCGCACATATGCTTTGACAAAATTGGGACTTGATGCATGGGATGGGATCATCAATTTTTACCATTACCGACTGAGAAACAAGCCAGAAAACAGGACAATTGTAACACATACACAACATCATATCCGCCTATGAAGTTACAACACATAAAATGCAATAAGGATCTCAAACTATGTTCTGCTGATAGTCGAATATCAAACATTAACTTAGTATTCTTCGACTAGTTCCACACACATTTCACTTCTTTCTTTCAGAAAACAAGGCAGCAACTTAATTTCTACGAAATTTCACCTTCAATCATGCCTAAAATGGTTCCCAGGTATACAAGAACATCTAAGAAAAGCTACTAACATGGAATCTTTTCCCCCTACAACAACAAGCATATAACCAACAATACATAAAATTACCCAGATGAGGGACGAATGTTGCATACAAGTATATGTCTCAATCATTTTTAAAGTTTGTTCGTATGCTTGGAGATCATTCCGAAGTTCGAATATGTGTGTTATCCAACAAAAGTAATTGAAAATTTGAAGAGTCCGGTTACAAAGAACAGAATCAACTAACAATAAGAAATTCCTAATTACCATTTATCACAATTAAGTAGAGAATGGACAAAGAGAAAACACATGTTTGATCGAATACCGATCTATTAATCTCGAACAAAGAAATTTAAGAAATCATTAAACGTCAGGCACACACCATTATTCATCACATCAATATTACATAAATTTTAATTCCTACAAAACCTAATATCAAATTTTCCCAATAATTATCCTACCACCATCAAAAAAATTATTTAACGAAATATAAACTCATAGAATAGAAGATTTCAGGTTTTTTTTTCGCGTTTTAAATTGGGACATATCTCTTCAAGACTTGCTTCCCGGCAACCACGGCTCCAGCTGCCAACCCTCCAAGCGCACCGGCAACCGCAGCAGACCTCACCCTCTTGCAGCCCGACAAACAGCTCCCGTTGCAAGACCCGCCGCCACGCTACTCCAGACATCATCACGGTCAGTCACCGCTACGACCCCACTTTCCGTCCCCGCATAAATCAAGCCCACAACACCGATTCTATTCCCCCATGATCGACCCGTATGACCTGAACTATTCAAGATCCGATTGATCTTGAGTTTCAAAGTATCGCCTTGCTCGAAATTCCTGAAAGCCGAGAAGAGCCCGACGGCTGCGCCGGATACAGAGCCGCCTAAATAAGCTGATCCGGTATAAAAGGTCAGATTTTCGCCCCAGGAACGGCGCTGGTGGAGGGATTCCTCGGCGAAGAGGAACTCCGGGGAGGTTGGTAGCTTGTAAAGGTTGTTAATGGGAACCTGGAGGTTCAGGTCCTGGTATGGATTGTAGAGGCGGGTGTTTGGTTCCGATTCAGGGTAAGAGCCGCCGTGATGAGCCATGCGTGTTTGGTTCAAGTTAGGGTTTGGTTTTATGCGAGAGAACGGAGAGGCGACTTTCGATGTTGCAAGCAGAATGAAGGATTCTACGTTGGTCATGTGCTTTTGGTTCGTTATATTTGTCGGTTGAACCGGGAAGCCGACACAAAAATATTAAAAAAAATAGGTTGAGAGAAAGGAGAGAGAGGCTAGGGTTTGGGAAGTTCTACTGTACGACGTTTAAAAATAGGTTAAAAAAT